CACTGAAGTGTATTGAGTACACTTTCTGTGAAAAAATACCCGTAAGCAGCAAAAAGTCATCAGAATCTCTGAATAATTACGACAAAATAATTCAGTGTCCTTCAAAACCGGTCAATTTTTTTCTTTCAAGCTAATAAGCTTAGTAGATATTACAGAAGTGTGGAAAGTTTGATTAAAAAGTTTAAGCTTTTCAGTTTTACATCTGCATTATGCTCTAGACTAAAACTTTAAACATCAAAGCTATAAATTCGATTCAAAGAAGTTGTTTGATGTTATACCTAGAGTATATAACAGAGCTCAAAGCAATTTTCCCACCATAATGTTTAGCAAAGTCAATTTGAATCATTTGCAAAACCATTTGCTAAAATTTGAAAAGTGCAAACATGGACAAATATGCTGTTCATTCTGTTATGAATAAAACTGTCAGCAATTCCAATATATATACACCTTCTAGGTTAAAAAAAGAAGAAAAAGAATTCAAAAAATGCTATAAGTTAAAACGAACACATTAAAGTCTTACAGTAAGTGGTGTGACTCAGCGTTCATCTAGGGGAAAGTACCACAATAATTCAAGTATTTTGAGGTACAAATTAGGACATTCCTTTTTCTTGAGAATATATTTGTAAAGCTGTATCTGTACAGCATAAGAATACAGATCTCAAAACATTATTTTCTGGTACAGCTGTAGGCCCAAGTAGCTGGCTGAATGCTGATTCTTAAAAAGATCAAAACACAAAATTCCATTGTCTGTTTTTCTATTATCTACCATCTAAGCAAAGCAACCCTCACGCACTCCAACAAAACAAGAGAGATGCTTTTTCTATAAGACAGGATAACAAGCCCTGCTGAATGGAAAAGGCACTGCATGATACATCCTGACCTGCACAGGATCATTGTCTCATATACAAGCTACAGAAGTACAACCGAGACGAAACTGTAGGTACACACCATTATTAGAGTAGCTACGAGTGATTTATTGAAAAGGCTGAAGTAATATTCGAAGGAATTTATCACAGTTCTGTCCTAGAAGTGACACAAGAAATGACTGTTCCAGGTCAGACCAAAAACCCAACTACTTGAATATCCTGTCTCCCACAGTGGCCAAAAGGGACCATACAGAAACTGGGAAAATGTCCATGGTATTTGCCAGCATAGAATCAGTTCCTACAGCCTCCAGTCTAATCTAATTACTATTAATCTGCAATGGATTTTTCTTTGAATTACTTGTCTAATCAATTTCAGAACTCCTCCACTACAAATAAAGAAAATCTAGTCAATATTTCTGATGTCTTATGCCAGTATACAAATTAGATTATTGATGTCAGCAATTACTGCAGTGGTGTAAACAGCATAAGGTTATAAATACATGTTGTCAATGTTTCGAGCTTCTTCTTGTTTGTTTGTTTGGTTTGGTTTTTAAAGAACTGACCAACTATGCTCCTGTGCGCATGAATATTGCATGAGTATGATGTCTCTATATATATCAATGAAAAATATGGTCCAGAACTCCTTTCAGACAGGCTGGATCAGAGTTTAATGTTTCATACATTCCCTCGCTAAAGCCAGATCACCTAGAGCACATTACACAGGACTGCATGCAGGTGGGTTTTAAATATCCCCAGAGAAGAAGACTCCACAACCTCTCTGTGCAGCCTGTTCCAGTGCTGTGTCACCCTCACAGTCAAGAACTGATGTTTAGATGGAACTTTCCGTGTTCCAGCTTGTGCCTGTTGCCCCTTGTCCTGCCACTGGGCACTACTGAAGAGTGTCCAGCTCCATCCTTCTTGCACCCACCCTTTAGATATTTATAGACACTGACAAGATCTCCTCTTAGTCTTCTGTTCTCCAGTGTAAAATAGTCCCAGCCCTCTCAACCTTTCCTCGTAAGAGAGATGCTCCAGTCTCCCAGTCATCTTTGTTGCCCTCCACTGGACTCTGTCCAGTAGTTCTCTGTCTCTCTTAAACTGGGAAGCCCAGAACTGGACACAGTACTCCAGCAGCAGCCTCACCGGGGCAGAAGAGAGGGGGAGGATGACCTCCCTTGACCTACTGGCCACACTCTTCTTAATGCAGCCCAGGATAACATTGGCCTTCCTGGCCACAAGGGTTCATGGTTAACTTATTGTTTACCAGGACTCCAAGACCCTTCTCCTCAGGGCTGCTTTCCAGCAGGTCGACCTCTAACTGACACTAATACATGGGGTTGTGCCTCCTCAGGTGCAGGACTTTATATTTGCCCTTGATGAATGTCATTAGGTTCCTCTCTGCCCAACTCTTCAGACTGTCCAGTCACGCTGGATGGCAGCACAGTCCTCGGGTGCATCAAGTCACACCTCCCAGTTTTGTATCATCAGCAAACTTGCTGAGGATACACTCTGTTCCCTTGTCCAGATCACTGATGAATATGTTGCCAGACCCAAGACCTCTGGGGAACACTGCTGGTTACAGGCTCGACCCTCCGAGCCCTGTTACTCAACCAGCTCTCAATCCACCTCACTGTCCACTCATCTAACCCACACCTCCTGAGTTTCCTAAGGAGGATGCTATGGGAGACAGTGTCAAAAGCCTTGCTGAAGTCAAGGTGAATGACATCCACTGCTCTCCCCTCATCTAACCAGCCAGTTATGACACCTACAGAAGGCTATAAGATTAGTCAAACATGATTTCCCCTTGGTGAATCCATGTTGACCTCTGCCAGTAACTTTCTTTACTTCCACATGTTTAGAGATGACATCCAGAATGATCTCCTGGCTTTAGTTCCTCCTCCAGGGATGATAATGAATTTGTACCAAAATGTTTAAAAGAGAACTATGAGAAGGGAACAGAACCACAGGAATGTACCAAATATTTTTTTTTGCAAAATATCATTAAAGCGTTATTAAATATGATAGTAGATGTTTTATGTGTAAAACTATCTTTTTTAGTCACCAAATAGAAGTTCCAGTAATTTCATAATTAGTTATGGATGCATTCTGCAAACTTCAGAGAGCTTGCAGGCTCAGATGCTGCAGTATAACATTTCAGTGTAACTTTTTAAAATTAACCCTCTTATTTGTTTCTGTAATGCAAAAGTAAAGCAGTTGTAAAAAATGTCTCCTGTTTCTTTGTCCCTAAACTCTCCGGGAAGCTTGCAATTCAAAACATTTTTGTCTTGAATTGTTTTCTACTGCATAATTCTATATATTTCTATAAGTGGTGTTGTTTTCTGTTTAACTGTGGAGATTTTTTAGTGTACTTTTATACTGTAAATTTTTACACTCTTCAACTACCTTCTTGTAAAGAATCACAGCGGTCTCCATTATTGCCTTTCTTATCAACTTAGAATCAACAAGGTCTTCAGAAAGGTGGCAGGATAGCTCATTTCAAGATTTGTGCTCTATTTTTCTTCCCAACCGTTTCACTTACGGAAGGGTTACAAATGAATAGCTTCAATGCCAGATAAATTAAACTCCAATTTGGTAGTAAAACAAACCTAGTAGTCCTAGAAGATTAAAGCATCCTAGAGAGCTATTTTTTAAATCAGTGCTGAAGCAAGACACTTCTATATTACAATAAATATATACCAAGGGTAAGATTCCATACTCAGTACACAATTCCCTCAGATTCTATATTCCTTAAATTACCTGCACAGGCTTGACACAAAAGGAAAGGATCTATGGGACATTTGTGTCCAAAACAAAGCAGAAGCAGGATGCCAAACTGAATAATGTAGGGCAGACAAAATGTCTCTAGACATCTATTTTGGACAGCTGAAGCCTATGCTGCAAGTCACATAAAAGTTCACATTAAAAAATAAATGAGTCTTCTAATGAAGACAACGACCATCAGGGTCACTGCTAAAAGCTGAGATGCTTTACTTCAAAGACACCTAAAGAAAACGGTTATTAAAACCATTTAAGAAAGAAAAACCAGTATCAAATAGGTTAAGCTTTAATGCCTTTGAGGTAGTCTAAACTTTAAACGCTCTACTCTCCATTAAAAAACTCTCAACCTTTCCAAGTTTAGCTTCTTCTAAGGAATTACTACTTCTGCTTTCCTTTATACAGAAATGTTACAATTTCTGTAATGGATCACAGCAGACAGACGTTCTACTCTTTCTTAGAGCTGGAATCAGCTGATTCAGAGAGGCTTAACTAAGTAGTGTAGCCTTACCAAGGAAAAACATCCTGAAAGCTATGAGGCTTTAAATAATTAACTTGCTATAAAGAGAGCCATAACAATACCAGTTATGGTTATTTTTAATCTGTTACAGATTATTTGTATTGACATACTTTTGCTCTGCATGAAAAGTGCAATTTATCCTCTCTGTAACATTGTTCGTCCTAATTTCACCCTTTTTATTCATCTCTAAATTCCACATTTTATTTTTCCTGTAAATGCACATCTCACCATTGAGACCAATCTTATTTATTACCCAACTCTGAACGCTTCTTTAGCACAAGATTTCAGAAAAAAACTCCCACATATTCATCCTTTTCTTCTTCTGCCTTTTCAAATCTTAGTATTTAAAAAGTATGACTAAAGCTTAGGGAAAAAAAAGGATTAATCACGCTAAAGTAAAAATTATATAGTATTTTTCAGGCAGTGTTGAAAGTTTATTCTTAATTAAAAAAAAGCAAATTCTCCTAGGAAAACTGCTAATTAAAAATTAGCACTCCTAGTAAGAAAATATGTTCAATTTTGGTTATGTTAAAACATCAAACTGATTATTATTTGTTTAAAAAAGTTTAATTTTGCTGTTACTTGTAGATTAAGTAAATAAATTGTAAGTAAAGAAATAGCTTTGAAATAAACTATGCATCCTAGAAATCTGATAGTGCTATAATACAGAAGAGAAGGTAGAAAGCATTTTTTTCTTTATTCTTAGAATAGCTATAAAATAAACTGTAATCTGCGTAACATTTTGATTTCATTGTCTATGTATTTCTCCTTCTTCACCGAAACCTATCTATTCTTGACAAAAAAAAAATTATTTTGAAGATTTTTTTTTTTGCTCTTACCTGACGTAAAGTACGAGCTACTATACTTTCAAGTACTGGCCCTCTGTCTTCATGCAATAGATGAACTTCATCAAGAATCAGGAGTTTTACCAGCTGCGAGAGGGCTACGTCACCAACACTTTTTCTTGTCACTACATCCCATTTCTCCGGAGTAGTCACAAGCATCTAGTAAAGCAGAAAAAAAAGTAATATTAAGCATTTACAACGAAAAATCTAGATTCAAATTTATAAGAAAGTACAACTTTATTTGATAAAGTATTTTTAAATAAATTACCAACTTCCCCTCCACGTGGATTAATTTCTCCTGACAGATTTTGATTCCGAGGTTATTTTAATACAAATTTTAGTATCAAGGCCTTTGACTCTTACAATATGACATCTATATTTTTCCTTTCAATAAATATTTTTCTGTAATCCTACTTAAAGAAAAAACGAACAAACAATAATAAATACACTTTAATATTTATTATTCGATGAACTCATGCTTCACATCACAAATAAGAACTGAGTCTACCAATCAGTCAGAAAAAGATGTATCTAACGCCTATTAGTTCTTTCACAGTTAACATGTTTTATGATTGGGCTTTCTCTTAACTTCAGATGTTAACAAAACACTAAGATAACACACATTTCAACCTTAGAGATGATAATGCTTCTACAGAAAATATAAATACTAGTAAACTCCTAAAAAAGCTCACACACATGACAATTGTTTTCATCTAGTCAGCATTTGCTATATTCTAAGCAGCCATGATAAAATACTAAAAAAACATAAATTAAGAGTTGACCAGATACTATCAGCATCTGATCTCAAATTTGACCAGGTAACATAAGCCCAACAGGAAAAAAAAAAATCCTACTATCTGTGAAAAAACAATGTTCAAATACGAAAAATGAAGATTGCTGCACTAGATCCCAGAGTGACAACAAAAGAAAATATCAAGACAAGTTAGGGGGCCTCCAAATGTGGTGCTCCACATGGTATACATTAATATTACCAAAACCAGTTTCTTATCACAGAAATTATACAATGGAAGGTGTAAAAATGCCAGGTAATTATAAATAATGCTTCAGGGCTCTGGCTAAGGAAAACAGACACAGAGAGATAACAGTGACTTTATAAAACCTTTATGAAACCTGTTAGTCCAAATTTGAGCAAAAGCATTTCTCATCATCAGAACATTTAATTATCTCAAGTACCATCAGCATATTAAGAGCTTTCAGAAAGCAACTGAATTGCTGTCTCAACATTTTCGAAACCCAGCTTGACAGACTTCATAGTTAACAGAATCAAAAAATGCTTGAGGTTGGAAAGGACCTCTAGATGTCAAGCAATCAAAGAATATCAAGACGGACATCACAATGACATCAGTCAGCTCCCTCAGCTCTCATGGATGCATCTCATCAGAGCCCATGGACATACGTATGCCCAGTTTGCTTGAGAATTTCTTCACCTGATCCTTGTCCACCAAGGTTACATTGTACTTGCTCCAGACTTTTTTTCCCACTTCATTCCTGGAGACTGGTCTTGTCAGTAAAGACCAAGGCAAAGCAGGCATTCCATACCTCAACCTTTTTGATGTCCTGTGTAACCAGGTCCCTTGTCTCATTGAGCAACGGGCCGACATTTTCTTTAGTATTTCTTTTGTTGTCAGTCTTGTCTCTCTGTTCCTCTGAGGTTACATGTCCTTGCTTCTATCCTCTGAATGCTTCTTTATTGTGTTTGAGTTTGGCCATGAGCAACTTGTTCATCCATGCAGGCTTCCTGGCATTTTGCCCTCCTGAAGCCCAGGGCTGTGAGCTCACTTTTTGCACTGTTTCTTCTGCTCAGGATCCTGAACTCCATAATCTCATAGTCACTGCAGTCAAGGCTGCCTTTGGTCTTCACATAAAGAAGTCCTTGCTCACTGCACAGGGGTTGGACTAGATGACCTTTGAAGGTTCCTTCCAGCCCAACACATTCTATGATTCAAGATTCTATGATCCCCAATGAGCCCCTCCTTGTTGGACAGTATGAGGTACAGCAGAGCACCTCTCCTCGTTCGCTCCTCTATGACCTGGATGAGGAAGTTCTCATTAATGCACTCCAGGAACCTCCTATATTGCTTACATCCTGCTGTGTTTCTTTCAAAATATTAGCAAATATGCATTTTACAAAACATATGCATTTATGAATACTTTTTCGTTCACTTATCTCCATAAGATATATCCTGATATTTATTCTCAAGAGAAATATTTTTTCCACACTGCCTCACAACATTGTTCCAGTCCAATTACTTTATCGTCAGAATATATCAATGTTTACTAATTATCAAGAACTACTACTGAAGAGACTTTGTAATACCACAGAAAAAGATGTTCCTGTCCTGCAATATTTAAAACTTAACACATGAAAGACTTACTGACTCACTAATATCACTGAGAGTGGTGCAATTTGGGGCTTTTTTCTGTGTTTTGTTAAAATAGGACTGCATGCATTTGGTTAACAAATATAGATTTTTCAAATGCTTGTACAAAATAGTAGGTGTAAAAATATATGACCATAACTTACAAACTGAATTGTAACACTACTACAGATGCAACTGTTGGCACTTTAAAATGAGCCATGTCAACCACAAAAAATTAACAGCAGTACCTCCTCAGAACATTAATTAGCAAACAGCGAGGAAACATATTTAGCAATGCATATTAAGACTTTAAGGTGTGAAATACTACAAATGCAAGCTACTTAGCTGATTTGCTAAATCTAAATTGGCAATGTCCAGATCACAGTGTTTGTGCTTTGGGTTTTTTTTGATGTCAGTCACATTATCAGGATATATATTTAAAATGGTACTACTAATTCTTTTGTTTCTGAGCAATGTTTAAGTTTTCATTATAATGGACTTTTACTTTCATCTTATTTTAAAACAGTCATGTTATGTAAAGTAATGACTTGAATTAAAAGGTACACTTCATATACTGTCTCATTTAGTAAGACCAGAGATCTCTAGAGAATGTCTTGCCAGAAAATGACTGCTTCTTATATTTATTTTGCAGAAAGAAATTACAGTTGAGAAAAAAATTCCTCAAACAAACACAAACAAATCAGCTTTGCACTTTCAAACCATAAATTGTACTCAAATATAAAAAGTGCTAATTAACAATATCAGCTAAAAGAAAATGTTGACTATCAGCAAATGTTAACAAAACTACAGATTATTTTTTCAATTAAAATAATAAACAAAGCAGCATTATGATCCATCACATAATTAGTTTTAAATGTGGTAGCAGCATTTTTTTTTAAATTACTTTTCAGAGACAACATATTTTATCCACAAAGTTATAAACTCAAAACTCAGATTCAGCAAAAGAATTCTGCTTTCTGTTTCGGGGAAAGGGAAGGACATAGGAATGTAGTCTTAAAACATTTTTTCAATATTTTCTTTTTTTAGTCTGACATATCAGCACACTGAGAAGTATGCTCATCTATATTGCTATTTCACAACTTCACCTATCCCAGTATTGAAATAGCAAGAAAATAAAGTGTCACATTTGCTTAACAAACTGCAATACAAAAGACATTTCAATCTGGTTTTAGTATTAGGGTATGGCCAAACAGAAATGGATTAACTGCCAATATTTTTACTGTCAACTTAAATTTTTCTCTGTACATACAATTCTCCTTTTCCAACACTTTTTAAGTAACCATCAGTAACTATTCCACACTGACATTTTCTACTAGGGAAAAAGTACACTTATCACCAAGTCTTTTGTCTTAGGTGAGCACGGCTGCTCAATTTCACTTTTGTAACAACAAAAAAAAAAGAGGTAAGTCTACAAAAATAATAAACCTTTCAACCCAAAATTATTTCATTTAGCTTTGGAGTTATTTAAGATATCCCTACATTACTTGATACGACGTTCAGGTAAGAACTCAAACAAAAAAGTCTGAACCGATAAAAAAAGTCAAAAGAGAAGTTGCTAGCTGGTAGGTTCAACATCAATTGACAAAATTTTGAGTGACTGTGAAAATGTATTTTTCTATAACTGCATGATTTGCTAACTATTTTTATCAGTTTCTCTTCTGTCCCTTTAGAAGCCAGACTTCACAGTAAGAGGAAGTTACAGCTTTGCCATAGTTTCAGAAGATAAACATGTCGAAAAATGGTGGGTTTTGTTGTTATCTGGGGTTTTTATTAGTGTGAAAAGGTTTATGGTCTCACTGAAATCTTAAGAGTCCAACATTAGTTTCTAGCAGTTGGCACAGCCTGCAGGTTTACCTTTCAATAGCTCACTTGCAATACTTTAAATTTATTTGCAGCTTTTAAGTTCTCCCAAACACATTTTGCACAAGACTAATATCTGACTTATGCTGGAAAATAATTTGCACACACTCTAAGGCTAGTCAAACTATAGTAATTCCCTCAAATCCACACTCCCACAAGTCCAATCCTCATATGGAAATACTGCAGAACTACATAAAATACTTAGTTATAATGTCCTATACTACAAAATTCACTGCTTTTAAGTTCTTCAAGACCATCCAGTTTTTATTTCTTTGGCCACTTCAGCTTCTTTGTCTGCCATTTCACAGAATCACAGAATGTCAGGGGTTGGAAGGGACCTCAAAAGTCCCTCTAGTCCAACCCCCCTGCCAGAGTGCAACCCCCTGCCAGAGGGGGACCCCCAAAGGCAGCCACACAGGAACGCATCCAGGCAGGTTTTGAATGTCTCCAGAGAAGGAGACTCAACACCCTCCCTGGGCAGCCTGTGCCAGTGCTCTGTCACCCTCACAGTAAAAAAGATTTTCCTAAGGATTTTTTGGAACCTCCTTTGTTCCAGCTTGTACCCATTGCCCCTTGTCCTGTCATTGGACATCACTGAAAAGAGCCTGGCACTGTCCTCCTGCCAGTCCCCCTTGACATATTTATAAACACTAATGAGGTCACCTCTCAGCCTCCTCTTCTCCAAGCTAAAGAGACCCAGCTCCTTCAGCCTTTCCTCATAAGGGAGATGTTCCACTCCCTTCATCATCTCTGTGGCTCTGTGCTGGACTCTCTCAAGCAGTTCCCTGTCTCTCTTGAGCTGAGGGGTCCAGAACTGGACACAATATTCCAGACGTGGCCTCACCAGGGCAGAGTAGAGGGGCAGGAGGACCTCTCTTGACCTAGTAGCCACCCCCC